TATACATAACTTACATACATAATATGCTTAATAATGTACATGCATATCAACCGCTCAGTATAAGACTCTGCCATTGCGTCACTTTTCAAAATATATGGCGGAGTCTATCTATCTATCTATCTATCTATCTATCTATCTATCTATCTATCTATCTATCTATCTATCTATCTATCTATCTATCTATCTTTCTATTTATCTTCTATCTGTCTATCTATCTATCCATCAATCAACCCATTGTATATAATATTGTATACACACAAAGCTTAGGGGCACTTGTGGTCGAGAGGTTACGGTGTTCGCCTCCCATTCAATAGGTCATGGGTTCGAATCCGGACGAAGCCTATATCATCTATTTTCGTTTATTCATTTATTAATTAATTAATTTATTTATTTATTCAAATGGGAAAAAAATGTTCAACATTTTTGTCTTGAACCTGGACTACTCACACTGGTCGGAGTGAAAGCAGCCGATAAGTTCTCTGAGTGCCTTCTCCTGGCTGAGTTTGGCGTCGGGGCAAGGCTTACACCTGTCCTGTAGGCTCTGGTCCTGGTACGTGCTGGGTGGGCATGGTCTGCACTCTCCACGGCCACCGTCCAGGTAGAAACCTTTGGAGCACCCGTCTGGTTGGGGGGGGGGGAGAGGTGGAGGAATAAGGAATAAGAGGAGTTTTCCCCCTAAGGCAAACGATCGTCCAGGAAAGTAGTGACCATGGTGGTAAAAACAAGTGACACATTCTTTCTCTCTCTGTCTCTCTCTCTGTCTCTCTCTCTGTCTCCCTTCCTCTCTCTCTCTCAAACAACAACAAGAAAAACAACAATATAAACATCAACAATATTTAAAGTAATAAAGATAATGATGATGACAATGATGATGATAATAATTGTCCCCTCTTCACCGACGGCCTTATAAGTGTCAACACTCTCTCAACCCCTCAAAGAAAGGGACTGTGAGCTGGTCTCGCAGAGACGCAACCTTTGTGTTTACTAAACCTTGCCCTCCCCTGCAGACTCTAAAACTGTTTATTCCCACAGCCACTCGAACGTGCTGGGTGGAGTCAAGAAAACCTAATTTCCTACCTTCAAAAATTTTTTAAAAGACATCTAAATTTGCTGAAATATGGCCAAATAAATAAAAAGCAGGCCAGATGCTTAAATATTATTGAGTAGAGACTGTCTTTTATGTTGGGAACATGAGCGCACGGAGCAAAGGGGTTAGGGATTGGGAGGGTGGGTTGGGAAAAAAGAATCGGAGGAAAGGAATGGCGAGGAAGGGAGAGGGGTTTGGGAAAGGGAAAGGAAGGGAAGAGGGTGGGAGGCGGAAGGGAGGAGGGGTTGGGGAGTGGGTGAAGAGAAGATGAATCGGTTGTTGGTGGGAGAGACGGGTGGGGAGAGACGGGTGAATTGGGTATGTAAATATGGGGTATAACTTAGGAAGTTAACTTATTCATATTGTCCAACCAATGAGATCCACCTGGGCCAGGCAATGGAAGGGTTAAAGCCTTCCACTACACACTTATGCAGCATACACACTTAAAGTCAAATACATTCTGCATCATCTGACTAACACTTTAAATACATTTTACGTTAAGAGTCGCCCGAAATACGGCCACTCAAAGCACACAGAAGGGTGTTCGAGGAGACATGAGTCCAACGTCACCGTCACGGTAAAGGGGTTAATAATAATAATGATATAAATAATAATAGTAGTAGTAGTAGTAGTAGTAGTAGTAGTAGTAGTAGTAGTAGTAGTAGTAGTAGTAGAAAAGTGACCATCAATAAGCTCAATTTTGAAGGACATCTTCATCATCATCATCATCATCATCATCATCATCATCATCATCATCATCGTCATCGTCATCAACGTGAAGTAAAAGAAAAAAAAAACCTGATCCGTCAAGAGGAACGTGGTGTAGACCACAAAAGTGATGGGAGATTAATTAGATCAATTTCTAGTACCAGGGGCAGTGGGGGTGCTGATAAATGTCAGTTGTTTTGGGTAACATTATTGTCAACACCGTAATCCACAGCTGTCGGGGTCATACTTTACCCGTGGATGGTACAGCAAAATGACAACTTGGGTTATACTTATACAATGGTGTGTATGTGAGTTTTCGAGTGTGAGTGTGTGTGCGTGTGTGTGTGTGTGTGTGTGTGTGCGTGCGTGCGTGCGTGCGTGTGTGTGTGTGTGTGTGTGTGTGTGTGTGTGTGAAGAGAGAGAGAGAGAGGGAGAGATAGTAGACAGGGAGAGGGGGTGTGAGAGCTGAGAGAGAGACAGACAGGGAGAGGGAGAGAGAGAGAGAGAGAGAGAGAGAGACAGAGAGAGAGAGAAAGAGAGAGAGAGAGAGAGAGAGAGAGAGAGAGAGGGAGAAAGAGAGACAGAGAGTGAAGAGAGAGAGAGAGAGAGAGAGAGAGTGTGTGTGTGTGTGTGTGTGTGTGTGTGTGTGTGTGTTCGTACGGCAGATGAAGTCCTTATCCAGGCGAGTCGCGGGTGGACAATCCAAATACGCAGAAATCGTCGACACGATAGTCCTCCCCCTTTGTCGGTGAAGTCGGAAGGCGCCATCAGCATCCAAGTAAATCCATCTGAGAAAAGGATACATTTGAATAAAGAAAAGCACATCAACTACGGTTTTATTTCACATCTATGTGAGAGAGGGGCATATTTAAATAAAGGGAAGTACACCATCTCGGCCTACAGTTCTATTTCACATCCATTTGGAGAAGGGTATGTTTGAATATAGAGAAGAACGTCTAGTACGGTTTTATTTCACGTATATATCTGAGAGAATGGTATGTCTGAATAAAGAAAAGAACATCCATACTGGTTTTATTTCACATCAATCTGAGAGTAGAGTATGTTTGAATAAAGAAAGGCACTCATAATCTACGGTTATATTTCACATCCATCTGAGAGAAGCGGTTTTTTTTTGTAAAGAGAAGCACATCCACTATGGTTTTATTTAATGATCTGAGATTACTAGGGCGCGCCATTGGTTCCGTCAGTATAAGGCCTATTTTGCTGGAATATCATGCGGATCACTTTGGTTCTTGTTTTAGTAAAAGTTTTACAGCATATGCAACACAATTAGTCCATATAAGTGCCGAAGGTTAGATGTGTTACACGACAAGAGAGTAATGAACTCAGAAAAGAAGGTTTGAATTTCTAGACGACGACCCTCCCACATGGCTCAGTCCTATCTGGGGTCTCGTATTCTCGATGAAGTGTTGAAAGTGGCAATGTATACATGCCGTACCATACCAATAGAGGCCGAGTGATCTGTTCCACTTGCGCCTGGCAGGACGTCAAACTTACACAAATACACAAACAAACTAATAATACCAGCGGAGTAGATCACAGTAAAGAACTACCAGAATCAGTGAGTCAGAAGGGTAATAAGGCCTTCCAGTGACATCCTCCAATCTCCCTCAGCGAGGACGGGACTTACGTGTTGACCAGGTCCAGATACTGGCGGTAGTTCTCCAGGCGAGCCCGCGAAAAGGGAATCCGCAGGACGGCATCCACCTGAGAGAAAATGTGTAATGGTACAGGTTTAACGCCCCTATCGACACTGTTAGGTTATTTAAAGGGAAGGACCACCGAGTTTGACATCCATTTCCTAAAGGATCGAGCTGAAATAGAAAGTTCATGTAAAGTGCCTTTTCCAATGACACAACATTGGACAGAGCTGAGGCTCGATACCCCGAACCAGGAATCTCATGATTACGGGTCTGGTAGCTGTAGGCAACCGACTCCACCTCCATCTGAGGGAAAATGGAAAGAATAAAATAAATATAAAACAACCAATTAATTTTGCGTCCTTTTCAGGTGCTTTCCTGACAAATAACGTACAATAACATAATTGCAATGCAAACCTTCAAGATACCAAGTGGGGTGGTTGGCGGGTGCTCTGGTGTGGTTGCTTCTTCTTTCCTATCAAATGTCTATCGTCTTTATCTCCCCATCTTCATTTTTGTTTTTGTTTCTCTCTTGTAACACCTCGAATCTTCGGCTCTTATATGACCTTATTGTGTTGCAAGTGCCGTAAAACACTTCATCATCATCATTGCCTTTCTCACCCTGGGTCAGGATATAGGCTACGAACAGACACTCTCCACCTTTCCCTATCCTGGGCTAGTCGCTTGATGTCATTCCACGTCTTCCCACTTTTCTGTACATCCATTTCTGTGACTCTTCTCCAGGTTCCACGAGGTCTTCCCCTTGATCGTTTGCCCTGTGGGTTCCAATCTAACACTTTTCTTGTTATGCAGCTGCTTGACTTCCGTAAAACATTGACTAAAACTAAACAAAGATATCTACAAAAGGGAATAAAACAAGCACATGTGTACAGCATGGTTGCCGATATCTTTCCACTGGGTTGTATCCCTTCCACCTCCAACCCAGATCGGCTCTGACAAGTGGGGTCGAAGCAGCCCACCTCATAAGTAATCTAAATTGTATCGACGGGGGGCGTCTGCCTTTTAGAATGTGGTATCCCACAAATCACGGGTTGGCTCTGACACACAGGATCGAAGCATCCACCTCTCAATTTACCAACTCATGCCAATGGGGGTGTAAAACACCAACTACAACCAAAAAAACACAACCCAAGAACCATCTATCTAATAGTGGTATGTAATAGCGTTCATCTTGTAACTTTGGCGCGGTCAGATAGCTCAGATGGTATAATGCTGGACTACGAAGCAGTTGGCCCTAGTTCGAATCCCAGACTAGGTGTTACCGAACTCGGACCGTTTTGTGGAGTATTCAAAGCTCTCGACCCGCTTGGCTCGGTCCACGGGTGTTCAATTCGGAGTTTTCGCCTCTTCAATAAACTAAAAGTGTTGATAGGGGTATTAATTATTAAACCCACACCCTTACTTTTCTTTACCGAGACTTTGTGTACACCCACCTTCCATTTGTGCTTTACGCAAGCGGCGGAAACGTTCCAGAAGCAAGTCACTTTCAGGTCTCTCTCGCACATAAGGGCGGTGTTGCTGCCCAGCACTTGTTTCGTCATCATCTTAACGAACGGCGCCACTGTCTCCTTGCGGTGCGGACTGCAACCCGGGGATGGGGTCATGGTCAGGGGGATGAGGAAGGTGAAGGACACCGGATCTACCTCCTCTGTTCGGATGGGAAGAGATACAAATTAAATAAATAGTGTTGGCCTATAATTATAATGTGCATCCGTTCATGGTCTTGAGCGCCGATGATGTTGCTCTTGCTGTATTTGTAATTATTGTTTCCAGGGAGTTTAATTACTTCCAAGGGCGAGGAGGGAATAGACCCTTTTGTGAGTGTGTCATTGTGTGTGTGGGGGG